CAGTAGTACCAAGCCACAGAACCTCGTCCCAGATATTCGTCGGAGGGCCGTGATCCGATGGGAGAACGGCGTGCCTGTCGGGCCATTTGCTAACTCTTTCAACAATTTCCTCGCCGCTTTAGCCAGGAGACATGATTTCTTCAACATATATTTGACGTGGAAGTCGCAGCGGATTGATGCGCTGGTGGCTTGTTGGCGATATATATGTGTGAGTCATTTATTTTAATTCTCATAATTATTAGTCATTTTATTATTTTGTTTAACACACTGATTTGTATCTCTTTTTTCATTGTATGCTGAAGCGATTTTTCTTTCTTGACGATTACGCTTGTGCCTGGACTTACTGCTTCACGCAAATCAATCTATCGTTCAAGAGGTGGCGGTCAGAGCTGAAGAAAAAATATTTTACTCAAAGAACAGAAGATTGGGAGCGTTACTGGCATCTTGACGAGCGCGCCGATGGAGTTGATTTTTTTGCACTTTGCGATTATTGGGACACGGCCGAAGCTCAGGTATTATTGAAGTATATATCTTCGTTTATTGTTTGAAATTCTATATTATATCTGTTTAACATTCTTTTGCAGGAACAAGCTGAAATAGCAAGGAGGAACCGCAATGCGCCCCGCAGTTACGAGCATCACGGGGGCTCCAGGTCCTTCAGCCAGCATTATCATCAATTGGCGCTTGAGGTATATAATATATTAGCTCTTAGGTTATCAATTTGAGTATAATTTATGTGTTATGAGTTAATGATATATGTGAATAAAATAGGGAAGGGGAGAACTCGGGCATTTTGCAGATCGTATTCTGACTGGTTGGAGTCCAAATTACGCCGATGAAGTGAAGAAAGCGCAGAACCGGGATCTGGCTGTAAGTAGCAGTTAATTTGTATATTTAATTTTTATAACAATGCATTTTAAATGTGTTAGAATTGACCGGGTTGTTTTGGTATATCGTAGGAGAAATTACATGCTAAGGTGCAGGAGCAATTATCACAGACTCAGGTCGATTCTAACACTCCGACCCGATTAAGTAGAGAGGAGGAGGATAGCATCATCGAGACGGTCATTGGACCGAGTAGGAAGAACAGATACAGGTGGAGAGGATCCGAGCATCGGCCGTACGAGTCCAGTAGCACCTACGAGTCTGCAGCTCCACCAGGATGCAGTTCTTCTCAAGACCCGACTATGGAGCAGCGGATGAAAGCGATGGAAGATTGGCAGTCGCGTCGGGAGTCGGAGCTACTCCAGATGGCGGAGGAAGAACGGAGGCGCCGGGAGCAGAGGGAGCTGGAATTCACCCAGTTCATATCGACTCTGCCTTCTGATGCTCAGGAGGCATATAGGAGACGGTTTTTGGCGGATCAGGTAATATATATATATATGTATATTTCTTTTTTAATTAAATGAATTAAATATAAAATTCTTACTTAGTTACGAGTATGCCATGTGACTAAATGATATCACACAAACTGTTACACACAAACTATATCTCTCTCCGAAACACAACTAAAATTATATACTTAATGTTTTTATGTGATGGTGGTGTTGATGGTGCGTGCATGCGTAGCGATGGTTGTATTGGATAGTGAGTTGGTTAGTTAGTTGTTATTTTGTTTTGTTGTGGGGCGTTCGTGTGTAGGGTCGTTGGTTATGTTGTTGGTTGGTGGGTGTTTTCGTCGTGGTGGTGGTGGTGGTGGTGATGATGATGGAGGGGGAGGGGGTGGGGGGTAGGAGTTTGGTTGGTTCGTGGGTGGGGGATTGTTATTGTAGTGGTGGTGGTGTTGTTATTGTTGTGTTGTGGTGTTGCATGTGTTGTATTGTCGTGATCGTTATGTGCGTGCTTGATGTTGGGTTTGGTCGTGGTGGGGGAGGGGGAAGTGTGGGGATTGGGTTGAGCTGGGTACTCGTGCGTGCGTGTGTGCGTGTCGGCGGAGATAGGTACGGGTGCGTGCGTTGTTAAAAACATGTGCGTGCTTGCGTATAATACATAAATATATGCCATGATACTCTCTCTGAATCATATAACATGTAAGAATATGCCATGATACTCTATTATTGCTATACTTGCATGTTATGCCTTGTTGTTTTACAATTTGTTACTTTACTGTAAAATTCAGTATTTGATGATGTACGTATTGCTTTATAACGTTTTATTTATTTTTTTAGGCTGGGACTTCTCGACAAGGTGGAGTTGGTGATGAGGATGAGGATGATGATGATCGGGACTGAGTTTATTTGTTTTAACATTAAAAACAATGGGTGTGCTGTATAAATAACATTTCTAATGTTGGGATATTTATTATGTTTTTAGTGAAATAATTGTTATATATACGTGAAATATGTGTTATATGTGCTTGTGTTTGGTAAATTTATTATACAGGTTATTGTTGTGAAATATATTGTACAGGAATTTCTTATTTTCAAAAAAAAATTTAAAAAAATTCAGATTATTTTTAGCGACGGATTTTCCGTCGCTAAAAGCTCTTTTAGCGACGGAAAACTGACACGCCAGATGTGCACTAAACAACTTTTAGCAACGGATTTTCCGTCGCCAATAATTATTGGTGACGGAAAATTATATAGCGACGGTTTTTCCGTCGCTATATATCCGTCGCCAAAAGTTTATTTTGGCGACGGAAAATCCGTCGCCAAAAATTAATAATTTGGCGACGAATTTTCCGTCGCTATATATCCGTCGCTATAAATTAGCGACGACAAATCCGTCGCTAAAAGTAGATTTACCTACCCTGACAATAGTGACGGAGTTTTAGCGACGGAATTTCTTTTTTTCCGTCGCTAAAACTTTTAGCGACGGATTTTGGACTTTTGGCGACGGATTTTTCCGTCGCCAATAGTCCCCTTTGCAGTAGTGATCCTTGCCGGTAGTCATCAAGGATGTCTGTAAACATCCTTGATGGCACGTCCGTCAAGGAAGGACATCCTTGACAGACAGCCGTTAGGGATGTTTGTAAACATCCTGACGGTAACACTGTCAAGGATGAACATTCTTGACGACGTTGTCGTCAAGGAAGTTTACAAACATCCCTGACGGCCAGGGATATTTAGCTCCTCAAGGGTGCATGTCCTTGACGGGATTTTTACTAACAGGGTATTGATAGCTACCCGTCAAGGATGCCCAAATTCTACTAGTGAGTTTAAAATGAATCGCGTATAATACCAGTTTATAGAAACAATTTATATATTGAAAGTAGCAATTTGGTAATTAAATATCAAAATGGCTTAAAAAGCAGTTAAGATGTTCAGTAGATTACTAAAAGATACAAAGAATATATGGTATATACATTAAAAAAGCAGAATCTACTTTTAGAAGTATCCTTATGTTGCTTCTAAGGGCACCCCCTTAAAACAAAAGTTATTTCAACAAGGGTGCCAAAAAAAATTCACAAAACGTTATTATATATTAACCTTTTCTCAGAAGGATAAATAGAAGCACCCTAAAAAAAATGCGACGCCGAGCTGGCCTTTAATTGTTTGATTAAAAGATCTAGCATTCGTGGTATTCTTAGAAATTTTATATATAGATATAGATATAATTGAAGATGAACCCTTAGATCAAAAGATCTAGCATTTGTGGTATTCTTAGAAATTTTATATATAGATATAAATTGAAGATGAAAGGTCAATTAATGCTCTAATCTATTGACATGCGGCATCTCGGGACCTTATTTTAGTGTATTTGATAAATGATAGGTTAAGGTGTTGATCTTAATTGCCCTCTTGTTTGTGGGCGGTTACGTCGTATGATTGATATTGTACGATTTCGTTTACATCGCATAGCTTGTTTACACGTGCTGCGATCTGACGATCAATTTTTCTTTAAAAAGAATGCCCATCGCGACATGATGCGCGGAGTCGGTGGCCTGCGCTTCATGATGATAAAGAGGCTTGAACCGTCTATTTCATTGGGTGCTACAGATATGCTTATTTCAAATTGAAAAACACTAGAGGCACACCCTTAGGCACACTCTCAGCCACACCCCCTCGTCTGCTACAGTACAGGCGGGACCCCAATAGATGAGTTTTTTTAAAAAAAAATTCCATTGTGGACTTCCTGAATTTGCTAGCAGGACAGAGGGGGTGTGGCTGAGAGTGTGTCCAAGGGTGTGCCTCTAGTGCCTCCCATATTATGAGTACACACAGTGATCCAGAAAAGAATTTTCAAAAGAATTTTCTTTTAGAGGATGAAGAAGGAGCTGTCATCAGTGTTTATTTATCTAAAATTAAAAAATATATATAATATTATAAAATTATAATATCAGGTAAAAATGTATCCAAAAAAGTTATAATCTCCAATACCCAGAATTTTTTTTAAGGACGGAGATCGAAGGAGCTACCCACGAGTGTTTATTTATCTAAAAGTAAAAAAATAATATTATAAAGTTATAATATCTGGTAAAAATGTATCCATAAAAAAATTATAATATCCTAAAAAAAGTTTTATAATATCCAGAATATTTTTTTAAGGATGAAGAAAGAGCTGTCCACAAGTGTTTATTTTTCTAAAAGTTAAAAAATATAATATTATAAAATTATAATATCCGGTGAAAATATATTTAATACACCTGTTAAATTATTATTTTTATTTTTATTTTTCAATAGACTAATTCAAATTGTTATCAATTTCATTAATTTTTCTAAATAGTTTGGATCTTATGGTGCAATTTTTAAAATTTAAAAGGGATGTAAAAAAAAGTATAATTTTACATGTAATTTTGTAAATGTAAATTGCAAATGTTAAGAGACATGTGCATCCCTGGCTAGCTAATAGATATGCCTGCCCCTGGATGCACAGAATTCAGATTCTCTCCACTATCTAAAAGGTAGTGGAGGGACCACTATATAATCACAACTATTGATTATCTAATTGGTGATTGTAATTTTTTCTTCGACTGCAAATTAAAAATGAGCGTAATACACGAGAGTATGGTGAGTGTTAGATTTAGATTGTATCATAACCTCCTATCAAGTAATCAACGATTAAGATTAAAAGTAGTGGTCTCTTTAGTACTTTATTGTAGTGGAGAGGATCCAAATACGTATGGACAAGCGCCACTACCGTCTCCACACCCACAAAACAATTGAAAAGTAACAAAAGTCTTCATCAGTACCCTTCACAGTACTCTTCTCTTATTCATCAACTATATAAGCCCATAATAAGACCATACAATCTCTTAATCTCTCTGCTACTAATCAAGCACAAGAGATGTGAGAATCCTCACTCACTATAATGGCTGGGCCCGAGTGGCACTGCACCGTCTTCCTGGCCTGGGACTGGGTTTGTCCCTGCTGCTGCTTAATGAGGCCCACTCTCTTGCACAGCCCGACTGGCTCCCCGACGCCGAGGGGGATCACCGGGAGGTTGTCGCAGTTGCAGATCTCGATCATGAACCCGTCGGGGTCGTGGAAGAAGAGCTGGTCGACGTAGACTCCTCCCTCCTCGACTCGTCGCTTGATGCACTCTATCTCCATCTCCTTCAGCTTCTTTTCTACCGACGCCATGCTATCGCACTGGATCGTACGAAGATGATGATAAAAAATTTCAGATGTAATATTTAGGAGGAATCACACCAACAACATCTAGTAAATTAATAATTACGGATTAGTGGACAGTTGATGCACTAGAGAGATTTCTAATGTGGGAACATGAAACTGAGTCCACAGTACGCCAACAAAACATTTGGGTCTTAGACCTCATTTTCTCTACCTGATTTATGGTTTACGTATACTAGTGTGCACCACGTGCAAAACACAGCCCCCTATTTTTTTAAGCACCCCATTTTAAACTTGTCTTCCTCTAAGTTTTAACACATTTAATTTAATCATTGTGCGCTTAAAATTAGAAATCATACGTACTCCTATATACTTAAAGAATGATCAAAGTTTTAATACAACCGATTTAGAAATCATATCTACTCCTCTATATATACTTGAGGAAGAATCCACGTTTTAATACGTTTAATTTGTTTTACTGTTTATAATACAGAAATCACTATAGGATGAATATTAGCTTCAAGCATAGAGGCTTAGGCCCGATTCACCGTTTGTACTATAGTTTTTTAGTGTAACACGAACAGTAATATCGAGTGCGGGTGTAAGATCTTGTTACTGTTCATACTACAGTAATTCACTGTAACAATTACTGTAGTATATATGAACAGTGACCCCTTGGATCTTACTAATCCTACTATAAGTATAGAAGAGATGCCCGGATAATCCTGAGACCGCTAACTAAGATTATTGATCATGCGGGTTATCCCCGGATCATCCGTATAATTAATGCATACCCGGATACCCCTGACGTAATTGTTATTAAAAGATAAATGATGAGGTACTGGATCGGTGTGAGAAATGCAAATAAAACAGGACTCTTCAAGAATCCCAGTCACTGTAGATGTTTGTTTGTTTGCTACTCTTACAAGATTATGTTCATGCACGTACATGGCGCATATGAGCAAGGTTTCTTCATTCGTGGTCCCCATCATGACGGCTGAAAGCGACTAAAAACCAAAAATTTAGGAATCTCCGTCATTAATCAATATTAATCCGAGGTGTGTTGATGCCATGAGAATGGTTAGGTCCAAAATTCATAAAGAAGAACTGTAGCACGCAACCCAAGAGAAAGCAAGTGAAATCTTCAAAACCGTCCCGATATTGATTTCTTTTGAAAACGATTCGCTTTGATAAGATTTGGGCTCTCTATACCACTCATTGAAGCTAGCGGACACAGGAAATAATCGATCCAAATTTAAGTACGAGCACTAAATAAATAGCAAGAAATTGAAAAATGGTCCCCCTAGGAAACCTAACAGGTATTTTTTGAGGTGAAAATTGGTGAAAACTAGCAAGTATTGGAATTTTGAGAATGAAATCCTACAATAATACCTGAAAGGAGATGTGATTATCCTTGGGATTAATCTCGGTCTTCTTCGTCATGCCCTCGGGGTCATCTGATTGCAGCAAATGTATGCCAATTCCATAATTAAACAACCTTATGATACACAAAAACCACCAGTTAGAAACAAAACCAACAGAAAAAACTCATGGTAAATTTCTCAAACAAGCAAATATGTAGCGTACCATGCGCCATCAAAATCGAAGGACCCGGGCCTCCTCACGGGAACAAAACCAAGAACATTCTGATAGAAATCAAGCGATTTCTCGATGGACCTGCAGACTAGAGAGATGTGATTCAGCGAAGTGAGCGGCAAAACTCCACCTCTCGAGTCCAACATCTTCTTCTCTTCCTCCTTGGATTGAATTTCTTCTTCCTTTTTAATTTTACCTGAAATTTTTGTTCTTCAACTTGACTCCTCGCAATTTAAATAAGAACGTACAATGAAAATGCAAATTAATGAGAGGAAGGCGAGTGATTCACGGCAGGCCTAAAAAATCAAAGAGTGGCTAGAATGGATGCAGAACGAGGAAGAGCTTGCTCTCCCCATTTATAGGTCGCAATTTTTTTGGGGCTGGTGCCACGTGGCACGCCATGCACACGTGTAGGATAGGCATGCCATTGTTGCACACCTGGATACACGTCAGCTTTCTAGAATTTTCTATGGAGTGATGTGGACTGTCGGCGCGGACGGCAAGTCTGACGCACACGTGTACGATAGGCATGAAGGAGCTTCTCCTGATCAACTTGGTACTTGTTGGTGTGATTGAAGTAAAAATTGTGTGTGTGTGTTTTTTTTTTTTTACTATGGTGGTTAGTACGTAAGTTATCGGCGTTATCATGATACTCATTTAGATATTATAACTCAGTTATTAACATTTTTCATTCACATATATCACTGAAATGCGTCTCCCTTTAGAAAATAATAGATAGTGGGATCCAGTTTAAGCTCACTGTTTTATGTGAGTCGATCATACGCAGACTTTAATTAATTAACTGGCAAGGTCATTTTCAACTTTTGGGCCCCTTTATGTTCTACTTTGGAGAGCAAATTTTTATAATGAGATCTTTATCGTTTTATATATATTTTTTGAGTCGTTCACCTCCTCTAGACTCCAAAATTTTGCTGATTAGACTTGTAGAATAATGATCTTGCTGGCACTTAGTGTGACATGTAGCTTGTTTCTTTTTAAGTATGTATATTATCATACATAAGGTTGTTCGTACCTTTCATGTTTGCCGCTGTTTAAAGAAACCATTATTTGGATATATATGCATGGTTGAACCAATTGATTTTGCAGAAGTGCTTCAACTTGCACAAGTAGAGATTTAATCTATATTGATTAATGATGGTGGGGTTTAGGCACTGTTTGGCAACAAGAGATTGTGTCTTATCTAAGAGATTGTGTCTTATTGACTTGGTCAATAAGCTAGTAGAGATGTTTGGTGACAAAAAATAGGAGGAGATTATTTTGAAGATTGTGTCTTTTGCAAATAGCTTTTGGAAAGCTACATCAAGTAGCGTTTGTCTTTGGGAAGGAGCTGCTAATCTTTTTTTCTTCCGTTTTGCCCCTAATAATTCTAATTTTATATCAATAATATTACATGTACTTTTTAGTCATTTAACAAATTTAAGCTAGTTATATAGCTACTTTTGCCAAATAACTCTAGTCAATCAGCTAGCTACACAGCTATCAGTTTTCAGCTATAATTTCATAGCTTTCAGCTAGCTTAACAGCTTTCAGCTATAATCTCGCAGCTTTCAGCTTGTTTTGCCAAACATAGCCTTAATCTATGTATAGGAAATCAACTTATATATGTATTTTTAATCCTGTATATACTATTTATTTTCACAACCGCTTTATATATAATATTTAAATAGTTATATTTATTTGTAAGATGATTATAACATTTTTCATTTAGTGCAAATCATAATCATTCACTGAAAGGCAGACAATTGTGATAGTTAAGATCCCAACTGATCTTAAGGCACATCAACACCAACTTAAATTATAATCGCTACAGCTGCATTAAACTTCGTTTGAGGTCTTCTGGCTTGAGCCTCATCTTAAAAAAAATGCAATTGTCTTGTTAGTTGTAACTATTATTGATGTTATGCCTTAGCAAGAAGCGTATGATAAACCGTGTTAATAAGTTGAAGTAGTGCCTTCATTGGCACTTAGTGTGACATGTAGTTTGTTCCTCACTCGCCACAAACTCCAAAACCCTTACTTTTTTGTTCCTCACTCGCCACAAACTCCAAAAACTGAAATGTGATAGGAAATTTTTTGGCAGTCTCCTGGCGCAAGTTAGCAAGCGATTTGTTTGCTAACGTGCACCCCCGCCTAGTTTCCAATGGTGCGAAGGAGCAAGAATAGCGGGAAAAAGCTTCTTAGCTTTGGATTGGGATCTTCAAACTTGAATCAACTTGTTCTTGATGAGCAATCAGTTCATGGATCATCTGTTCTTGGATTGGCTGAAGATGATGAAGACGATGGATTTGATTCACTCATGGGATCAACTGGACCTAAGGGAGGTACGAAATCTAAATCTATGGAGGATATACTGAAATCTTCTTCTTCCTCGAAGGATCAAATTCTTGAAGTGATTGATACTCCGAAGATTGGTGTTCAAGCTCGTCTCCTATGTAAGTCTTCTTCTTCTTGTAATGGTGGAAGTTCTTCGAGAGTTTCTTGGGCGGGTGATTTAGAATTGGGGATTAATTCCTCTAATCTTTCTTCTTCAAGAACTGCTCATGTGATTGACAATTTCTCTTTGAAACCTAATCTTTCATCTTCAAGAATGGCTCATGAGATTGAAAGTTTCTCTTTGAATCAAAAAAAAAATATCTGAAGATGTCACTATCCCATTGATTAATAACGGGGGGTTTCAGACTCAGGAAGAACCTAGCAGTTTTGTTTCTTCTATTCAAGAGGCTAATTCTTTGCAAGGAATCAATCAGAGTAGTAAAAGCTGGATTAGTCTATTTTCGGATAATAGGAAACCTGGTTATGGCTTATCTCTTGATTATGTGCCTTCTGATGCTAAGGATTCAGTCTCTTTTGATGAAGTTGAATGGCAAGATGGAGCTTTGTTATAGTTGTAGGCTATCTAAAAATCACAATAGATAGCTGATTCCCCATCAAACACCGATGATGGAAGTTACAATCTGACGACTTCCAGAATGCTACAATTTGAAGACTTTCACGTAGATCGATGAAGGTTACAATCTGACGATCTTCACAACAACTCATGAAAGCTCTAATCAACAACCTTTACAATCAACATCGGGAGTTACAATCTGACGATTCTCACATATCAAAGAGCTAAAGCAAAGATTACAAAACGACGATCTTTACAACGCTCTGACAAAAAGAGACTACAAATCGACGATCTCTTCAATCCAAGACGCAAGACTCATCCCTGCATCCCAGAGGTGAAGCATAAGTGGTCTCATTCCAGAGTCAAAGCTATGCAAACATAGCTCCTAAATGCTGCAAACACAGCTTCCATTCACTGCCAAACGCAACTCCTAAATGCTGCAAAACACAGCTTCCAACCGCTGCCCAACGCAGCTTCCAACTGCTACCAACGCAGCTTCCAACTGCTACCAAACGTAGCTTCTAACAGCTACCAATGCAGGTTCCATCTGTTGCCCAACGCAACTTGCAAACACTGTGTCCAAACGTAGATTTTATTCCAGAATGCAGGACCTGCATTTGACTCGTTCAAACACAAGTTGAACGGTTCCAGAAATCGTTTTCTCCCCATGATCTGAGAGATTTCCGCCCCCACTTAGGAGCGGATTAAGGGGGCGGTTACATCCCATTAGCCCCACAAAGGAGCGAATTAAGGGGACGGTTACACCCCTTAATCCCTTATAAATAACTAAGAAATCAGCTTAGTTCAGATCCTTCAGCTGAAGCTCAGATCCGGCTCCTTGGCAGCAAAGAAGAAATCATTGGCTTGTCGAACCAATTACGGTTAAGATCAATCAACTTGTACAGAGTTTCCAACTTGCCACGCAAGTCCTCCACAACATCAAATCGTGGGGAGGAGATACAGTTCCAGTGAATTAAGATGTTCAGATCGTCAACGGAGAGCAAACTCAATGCGAGCATTCGAGGGAGGCACTCCATCGCTACCGTGAAGAACCCAGAATTAAACAAAGGGGAGAATCTAGATCATTCTCCTCTCTTTTGTAATCGGAATTCAATTATAACTGAGATTAAAGGAATACAAATCAAGTTTCCTTCATTCTTTTTTACTTCAAATTTTTCCACAAACAATGGCAGTTCTCCCTTATTGGTCAAGTTTTAGGTCTTAATGTTAAATTTAAGGCTATGGAGAATTTTATTCAAAAAATTTGGATCCCTACTCCTGAAGTTTGTCTTCTTAAGACATGCCTATTCTTGTTCAAATTCAAGTCTAGGGAAGATATGAATGAGATTTTAGGCAAGGGGCCATGGTTCTTTGGCTCCAGACCCATGCTATTGAAACCATGGTCTCTTGGTGAGGATATTGGTAAAACTTCTGATTGCATTTATCCTTTATAGATTCAATTGCCTGAGCTGAGACTCAACCTATGGAACTCTAAAAGTATTAGCAAAATTGTGAGTGTGATAGGTAGACCTATTACTACTGATAAGCTCACGGAAAATTTGCAACGCCTTGCCTATGCTAGAGTTCTGATTGAGGTTAAGATGCCTTCTCATCTCCCTGATACTATTACCATTCAAGGTCCTAATGGTAAATCCTATAATCAAAAGATGATATATGAGTTTAAACCTGGATGGTGTGATTGGTGTAAATTTGTGGGACATGATACAACTTATTGTAAAAAGCATCCTTTGATACAAAGATGGCTTCCAAAGCAGAAAAATACTATTGGAAATAATGCTGTGCAGGTGCATGATCCACAGGCTGGTATGAATGAAGGGATAAATAAGAACCAGATTCCAGTTATAAGGAATGATGTTGAATCTGTGCAGCATGTTTCACAGGTTGAGCAGAGGGATTTTAATGTTGTTTCTGGTATGAAGGTTGATCAACTGAATACTGGTTACAAATTATGCCTAAATGGTGAAGCTTCCTCTCAAAATTCTGGAAATTATTGTGCTGAGTCTGTGCATGTTGTGCATGCTCAGAAACCAGAATCTGGAGCAAACAAGAGATCTGTGAATTCTGGTTACAAGTCTTCCTTAAATGATGAAGCTCCCTTTCAAAAAGCTGGAAACAACTGCTTTTCTGAGTCGGTGCACGTTGTGCATACTTAGATACCAAAATCTAGAGCAAGCAAGGGATCTCCTCTTGCTGAAAATCATTGGATTCAAATTCAGAGGAAAAATCAGAAGCAAAATGTTGTTACCCCAGTAAATAATTTTTTTTCTTATCTAGAGGATGAGGTTGAGGACATTAATCCCTCTACAATTGATAGAGGGGGAATGCACATATGAATTTTTCCTTTTGGAATGTTAGAGGCCTAAACAAGTCTCCTAAGCAGCACCTTTTAAAGCAGTTTGTATCTCAATATCATATCTCTTTTTTAGCTTTACTGGAAACAAAAATTAGTGACAGGAAAGTACCATATATTGTCAAGAAGATTGTAAAAAATTAGAATTGGTTTTCTAATGCTAGTAGAGATAAAAAGGCCAGAATTCTTATCCTATGGGATCCAAACATCCTGAATTTAAATTTTCAGCATTCCTCCACTCAACATGTATCATGTTCAGTTCAATCTCTGGATGGGAGATTTCAAAGTGTTATTTCTGCAGTTTATAGATCAAACCAAATGGAAGCAAGGAAGGTTTTATGGTCTGATTTACAACATGTGCATCAGTCTATTGGGAACAATCCTTGGCTCTTATGTGGTGATTTTAACTCTGTGATTAACAATGGTGAGAAGCTTGGGGGTTCAACTCTAACTGAGTCTGATTTCTTCGATTTCAGGGATTTCATTGATAAATGTCATCTCAATCATCTTAAATCTTCTGGTTGTTTCTTTACCTGGAACATCAAGCAAGATGCTTCATCCAAGATTTGGTGTAGGTTGGACAGAGCTTTGATTAATGATGAATAGATGAGCAACTATAATTCTAGTCAGGTAGAATTTCTCCTCCCTAGTTTTTCTGATCACTCTCCTGCCTTAGTGTCATTGTTTATAGAAAGTTTACAAGGCAAAAGACCATTCAAGTACTTTGATACGTGGACTAAACATGATAGTTTTTTACCTACTGTTGCTAGTACTTGGCAAACTAATATTCCAGGCTACAAAATTTTTTCTGTCTGTACTAAATTGAAATTGTTGAAAACCTCCCTCAAGGACCTAAACAAAAGGCTTTTCAGTAACATTAGTGAAAAAGTTCTGATTGCCAAACAAGATTTGGAGGAAACTCAAGCTAATCTTCAAATGCACCCTCTTTGTTCATCTCTAATTGGTAAGGAAAAAGATTGTATTGCTGAATACAATAAGTTATTGGACTGTGAAATGTCCTTTCTCCAACAAAAATCAAAAATAGCCTGGAATATCAAAGGTGACAGATGCTCCAGCATGTTGCATTCCATCATTAATATCAATAGGCATCACAACAAAGTTCTAGTTCTTTATGAATTACAAATGGTGAAGATATTGCTCAAGAATTTGTATCTTATTACAAGAATCTCATGGGAAGGGAGACTGCTACTTATGATCCTGATATTGCAGTAATTAAATCTGGTGTATGTTTGACAAACGCTCATGTCAGTTTGCTTTCAAAACCTGTTTCTAAAGAAGAGATCAGAAAAGTCATTTTCTCAATGCCAGAAAATAAGTCTCCAGGCCCTGATGGATATGGTATATCTTTCTTCAAAAAGTCCTGGTCAATTGTAGGTGATGAAGTCACTTCAGCCATCTTGGATTTCTTTAAAACTGGAAAGCTTTTGGGGGTGGTAAACTCTACCTCTATTACTCTTATACCCAAGGTTCAATGTCCAAAAACTCTATCTGATTTCAGACCAATCTCTTGCTGTAATAGTCTATATAAAATCATATAAAAAATCTTGGCTAATAGAGTGAAATCTGTTATGGGGTATTTGGTGAATGAGGCTCAGTGTGCATTTCTTAATGGTAGACAAATCACTAGCAATATATTGATGACTCATGAATTAGTCAAAGGCTATGGAAGAAAGCATATTTCTCCAAGAATCATGTTAAATATTGACATCAAAAAAGCCATTGATTCCATCAGTTGGAAATTTCTAGGGAAAATGCTTAAGGGACTGGGTTTTTCAGAATGTTTGATTGACAGGATCATGACATGTATCTCCAGCCCAACATTTTCTATCTCTTTAAATGGTACTCTCCATGGTTATTTCAGAGGTCAAAGAGGTTTGAGACAAGGAGACCCTCTCTCTCCTTATCTATTCATATTGGGCATAGAATATCTATCTAGAAGCTTGGACATGCTTAAGAAAGATAGGCTCTTTAAATACCATCCTATGTGCAAGAAACTCAAAATCACTCACCTTATTTTTGCTGATGACATGTTGCTGTTTTGTAAAGGTGATATTTACTCTATTCAAAAACTGCACCAGTGCATGGTCAATATCAGTGAAAATACAGGACTTGAAGCAAATCAGGATAAGTCTTCTGTTTTCTTTGGTGAAGTTGTTGTTGCTGATAAAAATCATATCATCAGTTGCCTTGGTTTCAAAGAGGGTACTTTACCAATCAAATATCTTGGTGTTCCTCTCATCAGTAAAAGACTATCTTATGCTGACTGTTTTCCTCTAATCGACAAAGTTACAAATCAGCTCCAGTTGTGGTTAAAACATAAGAATCTCTCCTATGTTGGTAGGCTACAAGTTATAAAGAGTGTGGTTTTGGGTGTTCAAGTATTCTGGACTTCTAACTACATTCTACCAGTTCAAGTCACCAGTAAGATAGATGAACTGTGCAGGATTTTTTTGTGGGGCAAATCAAATGAGTCTGCTAAAACTCCTTTAGTAGCTTGGGATAAGGTATGCATGGGGAAAAGGCAAGGAGGATTGATGTATACTCTACTTCTTCTTGGAACCTGGCAGCTGTCTTAAAAATCCTATGGCACATTCACATTAACAAGGATTCACTATGGATCAAATTGGTGCATAGAATGTATCTGAAACACAGTGATATTTGGCATGTATCAATTAGAAAAGGAGACTCTTGGAATTGGAAACAAATGTTGAAACAAAGAAATAAAGCAATTCAAATTTGTGGAAGTTTACAGGGCCTGTTGCATCTTCTGCAGAACTGTTCCAGTAATACAAAAATCTAGGTTTCAGCTCTATATCATGCTCTCTCCACTCATGTTCATAGAGTATCTTGGTTCAATACTATTTGGGAGAATATGTGCTATCCTAAACACTCTTTCATTGGTTGGTTAGCTGTCCATAACAGATTACTCACTCAAGATAGACTGTTGATTAGAGGGATAATCAATGAAAACAAATGTTGTTTCTGTTTAGGCAGAGAATGTCGCAATCATCTATTTTTTGATTGTAGCTTCACAGGAGAAGTGTGGAACTCTATAATGAGCTGGTTGCAATTTAATTGGAGGTCTTGTGACTGGAGACTTCTTCTTGATCGGTATTGCACAACGGTGAGAGGTAAAGGATTCAAACAGAGAATAAGAAGAATGGCTTTCCTGGTATCTATTTACAGGATTTGGATAGAGAGAAATACAAGGATTTTTCAGGAAAAATGCAAGAGTTTGGATCTTCTAGTAAAGGATATTAAGATTGATATTCTGTCTACTAATCTCAACTTGCCTATAGCTGATTCCAATAGAGTGGTTACTCTCTTTGTAGTATCCTATATGTAAATTTTTTTTTTCTTTTAGATCCTTGTTTCAGTTTGTTATCTCATTAAATTGTAAATGAGATCTTGATGTACATATAACTCTCTATTTGGTGAATGAATAAAATCTCTTCATTGATCAAAAAAAGAAGCATATGATAAAATTAAATAAAAAACTTTTAACTTCAAAATGTATAATCTGAAAATAGGATAATCTGTCTCACGACTAGAAAGCAAATACTACACCCCATTCTACTGATCCCTGCTAGTGCGTACACCTAAGGGTTAAAATCACAAGATTGGGAAATCTCAGTTTATGTTTTCAAGCTCAAGACCAAATATATAAATGTACGAAAGATTTTTTTTTTTTAGATAGTCAATGTGGGACTATCACTACAATGAAAGTTTAAAATTATGATATATTTTTTATCTCCACATGACACATTTTTGTGTCGCACAGATAGAGCATGACACATTTTTGTGTCGCACAGATAGAGCATGACACATACCAAAAGTGTGGTTAGAGTATGTGTAGAGAGCGTCTTTCTACACATATAAAAAATATGTCACCAACCTCACGACATATATATATCGCGAGTGGTGACACATAATTGTGTCACAAAACTTGTGACACATATATATATGTGTCAAGGGTGATGACACATATATGTGTCTAGACCATAAAAAAATAAGGAAGGTCATTATTCATTACTTTTAACTTCCCAGTAGGAAACCCATCCTAGAATTACTCTCGTCAAAACTCACTTAACTATAGAGTTTTGTTTTAACTTATACACTATCATAAACGTTTAATCATTATCATAACTAAAATATAAAATTTATTGATTAAGCATATTAATAGATCCTCTCATAATCCATGTTGGACTATTAGCCTTTTTCATTTATATTTAATTATATACTTAATAACACAAATATGTGTCATGATTCGCTTCACTTTTCATGTGTCATTATTTTTTAATCATTTGCAAATAAAATGATACTTTTATATGTGTCATAGAATAAATGTGGACACATACAACTTTTGTTGTAGTGTATACTAAGATTGGATACAATAGCATTACATATACTTCAATACACAGAAAGAACCATACACCATATACATTGACATCATTGTTCTCCAAATCCATCCCGGCCCCACACCCCCCACCCCCCACAACCCAAACACACACACACACACACGCATACACACATGAATAAAACGAAAATGTCATTTGGCACGCAAGATGGGCGCGCAACCCATCTCGCGTGCCACAACAGGGAGGTGGGACCCCACAACTAGATGCATCCCCCTATTTGTGGCAAGCGAGATGGGCTGCGCGCTCATCTTGCATGTTAAATAGCAAGGTTCTGGAAAAAAAAAAGGTTGAAACCTGGAAAGTGTTCATTCCAGCAGAATTGGTCTACTGAGGCAAGATCAACTTTTAACCGTGCACGGAGCATCTTAAGTGCTGCCTCCAGTTACCATCTAATGTGAGCTGGAGAGCACCTCAAAATTCTCATGATCGATCTCTCCAACCCACAATAACACTATCTCCTAATTAAAGCTACATTAATTCTATTTAATTTCTGATCAATGGTTATAAGGGAATTGATCAAATTGCAAACTTTAGGTAGTTAAAAATATATATGTGTGGTTGATGTTGAACTCTAATTTGAGAGATTTTTTTTCTATTGATGAAGCTGGCCAAGGTCGTTTTCATCCTTTTGTAGTTAAAATGGCGCGATAAGATTGGGAAAACAATCAGTTCTTTTTTTGTTTTTCACTAAATTGGTGATGAGAGGGATGCATTGTGGTCAGGAACAAAAAGCCAATTCAAAAGCTCAGATTATTTTATGTAGTTGGAGTCTTAGACGGTTGAAATTAAGTCCAATATAAGTGTATGGATATATTTTTTTTAAGAAGCGGATAAAGTTGTTTTAATTATTTCAATGTAATTGACGGTAATTTATGCTAATGTGTACGTGGCTCCATGGCAACGGCTGCGGTTGCTGCGTGATACACGCGCGTTTACGCTGAATACATCCCATTAATTAGCGAGACATCAACCCACCATGGCAGAACGCGCAGGCCCCCATCTCCATGTGTATCACGTTAGCAAGTGTACGTGTGAACGCAAATTTTAGTGGAAATTAGTATTGACATGCATGCGTAATTTTTCATCCGCTCATGAGTAGAGGTGGTACGTTAATGTATTGATTAAATATCACTAGGATTTTTTTTTTTTAGCTAGCTTCTAACTTTTTTGTATAGATTTAATTTGCTCATCATTTCACTCAAAAGAAAATATCACTTGGAGTTTCACTAAGTTACTGATATGATAGTGTCACACAACCATTGTCGTGTCAGCAAAATTTAACAAACACCACTGAGCAAAGAACTTTTGGCGACGGACAAATCCATCGCGAAAGACTAAAATTCCGTTGCTAAAAGTTATAGCGATAGAAAAAAAAAAGAATTTCGTCGCCAAATTACCATCTGTGCATTGAGGGTCCCTAATTGAACTTTTGGCGACGGAATTCCCGTCGCTAAAGTTCAGCGACATAAAATTGACGACAGATTTTCCGTCGCTCTATTTAAAATAAAAAAAAGAAAACGACATATGCGGACGGGGTATTAGCGACGGAACATATAGCGACGGCATTGGCCGTCACTATTACGTATTTAGCGACGACAATTCCGTCGCTAATTGTCAAAGCAAAAATTTTCCAGTATCCGTTAATTTACCGTCTCTAAAAGCATTATAGCGACGGAAAATTCGTCGCCAAAATGAAAAACAGTTTTTTCTGTGTCTGTTTTTCATCGTTAAAAAGGTATTTAGCGATGGCTTATCCGTCACTAAAAGTGACCAATATTTTTTTTAAAATAATTTAAAATTTGAAAAAACCCTGTACAATAGCATAATAAATTTAAAACTCTGTTCAATCAGCAATATAATATTCATTCTCACGCATATATAACACATACATTTCAATAAAAATAAATAAAAATATCCCGACATAATACATATTGTTTATACAACACATCCATTATTTTCAAAGTTAAATTAATACAAATCATTCCTCGCCATCATCCTCATCACCAGCTCCACCATGACTACCCCGACTCCACCTTGTCTAGAAGTCCCGATCTGCAAATATAAATCAAACGTTAACAAGAGTTATAGAGCTATACATCACAAAAAATTGAATTTTGCAGTAAAATAACAAATTATAAAACAACATAGCATGACATGCAAGTTTAGCAATATGAGAGAGTATCATGGCATATTCTTATGTATTATATGTTTTAGAGAGAGTATCATGGCATATTATTATGTATTATACGCACGCACGCACGCACAATTCTCTCACCACGTATGCACGCACACTAACCCCACCAACAATTCTCTCATCACGTACGCACGCACCATCAGCACCACCATCAACACGCACGCACGCATGCATAATTCTCTCACCACGCACGCACCCTAACCCCACCCACAATTCTCTCACCACGTACGCATGCACCATCAACACCGCCATTAACACGCACGCACACACGCACGCATGCACAATTCTCTCACCACGCATGCACCCTAACCTCACCCACAATTCTCTCACCACGCACGCACGCACCATCACATAAAAATATTATAAGTATATATTTTTGGCTTTGTGTTAGTGTTAGGGTTAGGGTGTCTGTGTAACAATTTGTATCGGTGTGTATGATATCATTTAGTCATGAAGAAAATTTTAATTCATAACTAAGTAAGAATCATATATATATATATATACATAAACCGTCTACTATATGCCTCCTGAGGCAGAATCAATATGAACTGCGAGAACTCCAATTTCCTCTGCTCCCGACGCCTCCGTTCTTCCTCCGCCATCCACGGATATGTTGTTTGCTATGACTTCCAATCTTCAATAGCTTTCATCCGCTTCTCCACCATCGACTCTTGATATGAACTGCTTCCTGGTGGTGCTGCAAACTCATAGGTGCTACTAGACTCGTGCGGCCGATGCTCGGATCCTCTCCATCAGTAT